GAAGTTTTCTTAATGAAAAACTCTCAATAATAGCCGTTAAAATATGTGTCAGGCGACATTAAAATTATTGATATGTCGTTCGAAGAAACTTCATTTTGAAAAAGTTTGATTTGATATCAACGAAAAATAAGGGGAAATATTTGAGAGGTGAAAGAAGTCTGTTTGATAAAATTTTTTAAAAAAGTTTAAAAAACAAACAATGTTCACGCCACGTGAAGAATGACTTTTTAAATGCTGTTATTGCTATAATTCAATGAAAACTAAACCTTTTACCATAAAAATTTGATGCTTATTTTTAGCTCATAGAGTAGAGTAATATGTCAAAAAAGCAAATGGAAACCTTTCTCCATTCAAGAGAAATTTCTGTTTTACGAACAAAGTTTGGAACAAAATTTTTTGAAGTAGTTATACACAAAGACTGATGGATATATGAAAATACCATATGGAAATCGGTTCTGTATCGAGAGCTGTTTGTTTTAATAATATCATCACTTTCGTGCCTCTATTATATCAAGAAAAGGTATTTAGTGCTAACTTAACAAGATTTTCAATGAAAGAAGTTATTTCTCAGTTGTTATGATCCATAATTCCCAAAGCGTCTGATGAGTTTCATTAAAATAAGTGATATGCATGTCGATTCAAACGTTGACTCAGAGAAGTGTTGAGAAAATATTATCTTCATACACATTCAACATTGATCTATCAGATACAACACTTAATTTTCTCTTATTATTAAGTTTGTTTGTTTTTATTGGGTTTTTTTTTGAACGATACAATGGTTGTGTTCTGCACTTATATATCTAACCAAGATCTTTGATGTGCCAAAATTTCAGCTTTCTAGCTAAAGCTTGTCTTGAAATGTATGAGCAAGATTAATATACATGAATTGTAACATTAAGTTTTTGTAGTATTTTCGCAAATGTTGTGAATCGCGACAGAGCAGCTAATGATTATTTTCACTATATAGAAATGCATTTACATCTTAAACCGTTATTAGATTTAATGATAAATTTTATCTTAAATGTTTACTAATTACGAAAACAGAAAAATTGTAAATTATTGGTATTGAATTTAAATTGTCTCAAAACAACACGAAGTATTGGTTGCACGGTTCATAGCAGAATTATTTAATGAACTCATAGAACCAGTAAATGGCAATGTTAAATTTGCTGATGTATGAAGAACTGAGAATGTGTCGGGTGCATTGGATGAAAAAGTTCGCCGAAAAGTGTTTGATACATCATTACAATTAGAAAAAGAAAAGGCATAAGAATGGAGGAAATTTTTGAAACAAAAATGGTAGATGAAATACTTCATCAATTACAATTGGTTATAGAAAGCAATGGAGAACATGTTTATACCCATATCGTCAAAATCGGGGCAATTTTAACTATTAATCGCAATTATTTGGAGAGATCCGATTGATCAGCGATTCTACACCATACTTTAACAATAAGCATTTATTTATAAAATTATGTATTTTTATTTAGATCGATCTCAAGACCAAAATGAACAGTAAGTATTATTGTATAAAAAAAAAACTATTGTTTTTTATTATTTACGGCACATGGAAGAAGACAAGATCATTTCTCTCTTCATTCATGAGAAACTTTTATGAATATGATGATAAAAGATTGTTGTATACTCGTCGCGGCACAGTTGTAAACCTGGGACTGAACGTTTCCATGTCGCACATTTATTCGCACTATGACTAGTAGATCTCATGTGACTATCTTTGATAGAAGAAGTAGTAGCGCTGATTGAATTACGCTTTATTCGGCTTTCTCACACCCCAGTACTCAGAAGAACTAGTGGTAGCGCTTACGACTTTCGGTTCCAGCGATACATGATTGCAGAGAGTGTTTTTTACCTATATTCGAATCATATATTAGAAAGAATTCAAATTAACTAAACAGAAAACAGTTTCAGAATATATTTTACTTACAAAAATTTTAGCAGTACCATCTATAATAGAAATTTATTTCATAACTGGGGCCGATCTAGTCTCTGTGGCTGGCACAGTCGGCTCAAATGCATCAATAGTATTAGAGGACATTGACAACGACTCAATTCTGTCGGTTTTAATAGACTGCAATAATATTTACCCGTATTGATACAATACATCATGATATAACACTTTCACGAAAAGCCACCGGTATAGCGCACATTATACCAATGGTTTTATTGACAGTAGTTTCTCGATAGTTATCACATGGAATATCACAAAAAGCCAGTACGAAAATCCATGTATTTTAATCTTGTTCATGCGTTTCAGCACTAGTTTTAGCTTGAGAACTGAAATTTTGAAAAATTAAAATTCTTGGTTAGATAAATATTTGAGAAAAGTTTCAACCTTCTACGTCAAGAACAGAGTATGAAAAAAAGGTCGTTAAAACAATTTATCCTCAGTTATTATGGGATATCCTTTATATAATGATTTGAATAGATGAAGACAAAAACGCTTTAATAAAGATCATCTTTTATTGTCTTTTTTATCTTCTCTATGGGTTTTTTTAAAGGATTATTATCTGACGTTATACTGTTCATTTTCTTCTAAACAAAGTATTAAAAATGTTAGTAATTTATATGAATGGATATTAACTAGAAGAAGATTCATCTTAAACGATAAATTTATAATTTATATATTCTTTTGGATTGTAAAAAAAAAGCATTAATTCATTATTTTCAATGACGACTATCTTATAATAAATAGCTGATCTTTATGTTAAATCATCTATATTGTACTTAAGCTAATACCACACGCCGAGAAGCACTGAGCGTTTTCGGTGTAATTCTATTTCAAAAGCTTTAAGAAAATAAAACTGCTTATTAATCCAGAACAGACATTTGTAATGACAGTAGAGACATATTCTGAAATGAAACAAGTTCAATAATGAAAAATACAATCCATATTGACTCATTAGTCCTTGAAATATTACATTAAAAATGTCATTCTAAAGATCGTTGCTGGCCGCTCAAACTCTATGTGGAACAAATACTTTTTAATTGAGAATCTATATTCAGAATAAAAAAGTAGGATGAGTTTTCACGATCAAACGACTTTAATCGTATAAAAATAGTATCCATTTCGACTCATTCTCAGTTGAAATACTAAATTGAAAAATATCGTTCTATAAAGTTCGTGCAAATCGAAATTTGAGAAGAAAAGATCGGCTTTTTCACTAAATAAAAAAGCCACCCAACACTTCAAGCTCTAC